GTGTGTGTGTGTGTGTGTCTGTGTGTGTCTGTGTGTCTCTCTGTGTGTGTGTGTGTCTCTGTGTGTCTCTGTGTGTCTGTGTGTGTGTGTGTGTGTGTGTGACTGACTCTTGTTTTCCGTCTGCATCCTCTCGTGTGTTTTCTGGATGTTCAGTAGATTGTGTTCACTTCGGGATCTCTCCTCCTGAACAGACACAGCGTCACACATCCGAACACTATCAGTGATCAATAACTACCAATCAATGCTGCAACTTTACCTGGGTCTGTTTGATGAGCTGATGGAGCTCTGTGAGCAGCTCTGCGATCTTGGTATCGGCTGACATGTTCTGTATGTTCATTGAGATAAAGTCTTGTGAGAGAAGCGTTGATCCAAACCAAACCCCATTCAAATATCTGTCATTTAAAGGAGAGCAGCGAGGCGACTGACAGAGAGAAGACTGGAAGCAGATATCAAACTGTATCATACATTTAACTTATGGTACATTGAATGACAGCCGAATAAAGCAGTGTAACCTACTTGTGTTGATTAATGTCCTATTAGGAGTTTATGTCTCCTGAATAACGAGAGATCTTTAAATTGACTGATTTTTTAATGGAGTTTGGTGCGAACTTTTTTAAAAGCGAGACATTTTCTGGTTTTGAGACTAAAGCGACAGCTGCAACATTTTGGGTTAAAACTTTGGCAAAATACATAATTAATTAAATAAAATAATATTGTTTCAGTGAAGCTAGCTCACATGCTAACGTTATTAACGCTAAGCTAATGTTAGCCGGGCTGTTAGCTCGAAGCAGCGCTCGTGCTCACACAATAAAAACACCCACTGTGTATATTTCCACTTTTATAACTCCATATATATATAAATGTGCTTTATGTTTGATCAGCACAGCCTTTAAACCTCTTACCGTGTTAGTTTCTGTTTGTTTATTGTCGGATTGCTAGCTGCACGGATTAGCTTCCTCTTCTTCGTTGGTGTTATTAGTCGGTAAAGACAGCGCCACCAGCTGGTCGGAGCGAGAACTGCGGCGACAACGTGTAACAGCAGTTCCTCAGGTTGCTGTTTAAAGTTCATTTATTGAGACTACACGTTCATCTTAAAGCTCTTTAAAGGTCTTATTTTATATACTGTAATATTAACAATACATCTCCACCATCAATGTGACATTCTGGTTCAGTTTTAATGTTTTAAGGTGAGAAGCTACAGGACAAAAACATTGTTTTTTATGCCAATTTTGAGATTTTGCTTCCATAACATGTCTTCTTTCTATGGAAGCTCATTTCTGCCAGTAAAATTAAAGAAACAAAAGAGATGAAAACCGTGAAAATAAGAATGTTTATTAATTTTTAATTATGAGATATATTTTAATTATCTAAGGCTAAGTTTTCATCTTATGTTTTTATTTTACTGACAGAAATTAACTTCCATATATTTCAGACTAGTAGAAAGAAGACACCAAAATACACATTTAGTTGTTTATTTTACTACAATTTGTTTGTTTGTTTTTGTAGATTTCACCAAAAGTCGACATTAGATAATGCCTCATTTGCATATTTAAACATAACATTTGAATACAATGTACATTGTACATTGTAAAACAAATAATAATTGTCTTAAAGTGGATAATCCACTGGGGAAGTTTCATACTGATATCTCTTAAAGTTGGACCCATTTCACCTGTAGTGAGTTTTACAATAT